TATTTTTTATTATGCAAACATGAAACATTATAAACATTTTTTATGTATGTACTTAAGACTGATAAGGGAACAGGAATATATAGAACAAGATGAAATTCAAAAAAAAGCCATGTTACCCGATAAAGAAGCAAAATTTTTAACTTATTCATTACTTCAATCAGGTTGGATTCAACAGCATGAATTAAAGAAAAGTTTGCAAAAATCTGGGCCGACAAAAACCTTTTATTTATTTTGTATTGATTTTGATCAGGTAAGAAAACTTTTTTTTATATAGAATTTCTGTAAGTTTTTCCTGTACAATTTTTTTTTTTTTTTAATGGAAAATCTTTTCTTTAAAAGTTTCGATATTTACTCTTAAGTTAGAACTACTTGTAATATAACATAAAAAATTCTTTTTTAAAGGTTGTTAGAATGTACATTGAAGCATGTTATAAAAGTTTATATAATATAATAACTCTCAGGGAACAAGAAAAAATAGATAATAAATGTTTACTTGAAAAAAAACAAAGAATCGATGCTATCATTTTACACATGAAAAAAGAAGGGGCTACTGATGAACAAGTCGTAGAGGTAAGTAATAATAAGAACATGTTAATTTGAAATGTATCATAAAGATTATAGCTATGCAAATTTCCCCTAAACTAATGCTAAATTAAAAAAACAAATTTGATAAATTTTTATTTCAGATTGAAGAAATGGTTACACCGCCTGAACATAGTTTGTTGGAAAAAATTCATTTGAATGTCAATAAAGTTTCACAGGCAGAGCTTCAAGTGGATGAAACTCTATTCATATTACAACTTTGCCTCAATTATAAAAATTAATTATTAAAAAAATAAAAATATTTCAAAAAAAAAAAAATACTGTTGTTATTTCATTTTATGATACCTAAACACAAATTAATTAAAATTATAATAATATTCATTACATTGTTGATATTAATTACTTATCGATAATCTGCAATAGACTCTCAATAGATGAATAGCAACAAATAGAACATGGCCTTAGATTTCGAATAAAATCAATTTTGTGCTTATTTAAATTTTCGATTTGATTTAATATTTGAAAATACTATTTTTTACTTTTTTTTTCTTCCTATTTGTACAGAAAACTTAATAAAAACTTTGTAATATTATTGTAAAAGGAATAATTTTTGTGAAATTTTAGGAATAATATAATAATTTTTAAAAAATTTGATTTAAATGATAATTTTCACTTAAAAAAGATGTTTAATTAAATTAAACTTTTAATAAAAATAATTACATTTGAAAATGAAATTTAAAATTTTTATTACCGGATGTACAACAACAATAAGAAACAAATTCAAAAAAATTAAATTCTTTCAATTTAGTCGGCAAATTCATTAAAATAGAATTAATTTCTTCGTATTTATTATCAGGACACCAAAGGAGGCTCAAATGAAATAATGGATCTTCATAAAATTTTCCAAGATTATATTCTTTTAAACATAAATCAACTTGATTCACTATTGTTTTTAACATTTCTACATTTTCATCTACCATTAATGATAAAAAAGTTCTCGTTTTTTCTTCATTCGTGTAAACTTTTAAACCTTTTACATGAATTTTAAAACTGGGAATGTCTTTTAGAAAATTTTTTAATAGTTCCATAAAACCTTGAATCCAATGATGTTTTAAAATTACAGTTCTGGACAAACTTATGTGATAATCATCGACTAACTTTAAATTAAATTGCTCAAAATAATTAATTAACTTTTTAACGAAATCACTCAATTCGTAACATGGTTTAACTGGTATGTATACAAATGTGGCCCAAATTCCAGGTTCATGAGGAAAATTTCTCACTTTACCATCTATGTTTTTTACATTTTTTTCATCTTTTGTACATTTTTTACTTTTTGTAAATGGATTAGGCAAAGTTAACCTAAAAATAACGTTTCAAAAAATACATTTCATGTAAGTATTTGTGTGATAAATTTATAAAACAATAAATGATTATTTAAACTTTACAATCCCAAATTTTAACCCAGAAAACTAGTAGTGAACAACAGAAAGCTAAATTTAAAAAAAAAAAAAAAAAATGGTTTTACGCTTTTATTTGAAATTTTAATCTTTCAAAATTTAAAAATATTTAAAATAATTAACGGAAAAAAAAATGTCGATCGAACGGTACCTTTCTCCTACATCACTTTCATTGCAATTAATATCTTCGTCACTATCACTAGAACAATAAATACTCAATTGATTTAAAGCACTCATTACTTTCAAGTCTAAACTATATCGTAACTACTTTTTAAAAACAAAACTTCAACCACTTATTAAACAAAAGGGCCCTGAAAAAAAAAAAGTTTTGGCGCCAAAACAAATTTAAGAGAAAAAATTCAAATATAAATAATAATAATAATCAGATAAACTTTTTAAATGTGTATATTCATATGCAGTCGTTTTTCAATCTTAAAAGACCGTTTCTTCTATTTATTATATATTTAATGACATATTTATTTTCAATTTTTTTAATCATTCTTAAACTCCCTCCATTAAAAATACTAACCTAGCCAACTTTTTTTTTCCTTTTTTTAAATTTTATTCAATAATTCTCAAATGAAATTAAAAATTTTTTTAATTACTACTTTATTTTAAAAGTTTTTGTGGTAAACAAATAAAATCGTTAATTGATTTCCAATTTATTAAATTTTTTTTGTGTGAACACCACCACCACCTTCATCAACAACTACAAACAAATATTAAAATTTAACTGACTTTTACAATCTGTGTTATTCATAATATTATTCAAATATTTTAGTCAAACTAAAACTAAAACTAAAACTAAAATATTGTCTCACGTACGTCAATAATGAATCAATATTAAATTTTAAAAATTAATTCAATAAATAATTCATGTAACATTATATTGTTTGTAATTTTTTTTTTTTTTTTTTTTTTCTAGAAAATGACATGTTGATTCAAAATCAATCAGTCAAATTGAAAAACAATTTTTAAACAAATGGTAACTTTTAAACAAAAAATAAAAACAAACGTTTTAAATTTATTTATTAGGCTAATGAAAATCATTGGAAATATTCATTTCTTCCAGTACATCATGATTTTTATGATTCCTTATATTTCATCACTGTATGATTGATGAAACATTTCTAATTAATTTTCTCATTAATAATAATAATAATAATCCTATTCTATTAGATTTTGAGTTAATGGAAACAACCCCTTATTATTATTATTATTATCAGGGATCAGCAATAATTGTAAAGTGTATTGATAAAACTAATGCACTTAAATTGCTTTTATCTGTTCGTGATACTCTTAGTATTTCTGATTGTTACAATTATGATAACAAATACAACCCAATCATCAACAATTTTCTATCAAGTAAACATAATTACAACCTAATCTAATAAAATTTAAGCGGGGAGGGGGGGAGGAGGTCGTTTTATTTGAATAAGAAAAGAAAAAAAAATTAACGAAATTAAGCAAGTTTCGATTATTATTATTTAAGTTTAAATTTATCGATTAATCGAATTGTGATAATACATAATTATCGAAATTTTTATGAAATTCAATAATTAAAAATTATTCATGTAATTGACGTTTCAGTTGGCTTTTTTAATCATCGACTCCATTTTGTTTTTTTTTTACACTAACCTCGGGGAACATTTAAAAAAAAAATCTTTATGAGTTTCTCACGGCCATATTTGAAAGGATATACTTAATCAGTCTTAAATCAACAAGTTGAAATCGATTATTAATTGATACATTTTTATTAAAACAATTTTGTTTGTCAACTAACCCATTCAATCAATCATCTAATAAATTTTTTTTTTTAAGAAAAAACTTCCTTTGTCATTATATATATAATAAATAAATAACTTACGGTTCTTTCCGTTTTTAACGTTCATTCAACGGAAAAATTCAAATTAACGTTCCGGAATGTCAGTTGAACGCTGATTGGTGATCGTCTCCATTTTGAATATTAAACAAAATAACGGATATTATTACGACTCATTTCATTTTTTCTTTTTTTTATCTGGAAAAAAAAAAGGTCACACAATTTTAAAATGAAGCAATTAAAAAAAAAATATAAAAAGAAATTGGATATAAGTAAAAAAAAAAAAAAAAAACAACGAATGACGGTTATGATAAATTGATTAAATTTAACGGTTTATGTTGATTATTTTAAACGTTAAACATTCAAATTTTTTTCGTGTACATAAATAATAATAATAATAATGAGTAAAGTTTTTATATTCGAACGACATGTTTAAAAATTACATAAATTCGTTTTTTAAAAAAAAAAAATTAACAGAGGAAATTGGTTTAAATAAATGAAAAACAAAATTTTTTTTTTTTTTTTTTGCGAAATGTTTGAATTAAAAAATATTTTTTCCGCGTTTTTTTTTTTCTCGTTTTTAAAAAAAAATTAGTTAATCAAATAAAAACTTTTTGGATTTCTTTTACAAAATTCTTACATAAATTGAATTTAATACAAATTACATATTTACCAAAAAAAAAAAAAAACCAAATATAATTTATTTACCGACCGTTGTTAGCCAATTTCTTTTTTTTTTTTATTAGAAATTCATTGATATTCAAAATTTTTACTTTTATAAGGGCGTTGCAACAAAATCAAAGATGGCAGCACTTGTTTTCCCCCTGACAATTTTCAAAATCGTTCGGGAATGATTTTATAAAAATAATCAGGTAAAAAAAAAAAAAAAAAAAACGAATTTTTCTCAATGATAAAAAACTTTTCTTTTTTATTTATTTAATAAATTTTCGTTAAAACGTTCGCATTATTATTATTATCAAAAAATAAATGAAAATAATTTTTCCAATGTGGACAACCCTGAGTAAACTCTTAACACAATGTTTTTAAGATAAGGAACAACGACCAGTTTTTTTTTTTTTTTTTTTTTTATATTAAATGATTGATTTCGGTTAAATTGTTTCAATATTTTCACAAAAGCCTTTTGACAATCAACACCGAATCAATACAAAAGAAAAAAAATGTATTCGATTTTTTTTAATTTTTTATTTTGGAGTGCACTGCTATTATCAGTTACACTAGGACAACAATGCAAAGATGATCAAGGACAACCGGTCGATTGGTAAGTTTTACAAACAATTTTTTTTTCCCATTAAAAAATTTTTAAAAAGGAAAAAAAATATCAATAATTTTTTTTATAGGTTTTACGGATTTAAACCACCCATATTGAGTTATCAAAAAAATTTTTACTTACGAAAAGGTTTAGGTTTTATTTACCTCTCGTCTAAAAATTCAACAACGAATTGGAAACTATCATTGAAATCCGTTAACGATTCCAATTCGTTTTTGGGTCGAACCTTAGAACCCTTATATAATTCTTCATCTTCTGAAGGTATTTTACATTTATTATACAATGACGAACCACCCTCGACACCCGGTAGTGTATCTTACGGTCATTCAAAAGGGGTAGTCATGTCTGATGGTAAAATGGGTTTGTGGTTAGTTCACAGCACTCCGAAATTTCCCATCGAACCCGTGACGATTAATAAAATCACCACGTCCGCGGGAATTATCGGTAGGGAAATTAAAAATAAATATTTTTTTCCAAAAACTGCTTTGAAATATGGTCAGAGTTTTCTCTGCATCACTTTACCACCGACTCAAATCAATAATTTGGGTTCGTCTTTGCAATATGTGAGACCTAAAATTTACAGTCACAACGTTCCGCCACATTTAGAAACTAAATTTTCCAACATTGTGGATCTCGTTCAAAAAAAACTCGTTATAAAATATCCCTATTATAAAAAATTAAATTTGACCACAATTGGGGGTAGAAATTTTGTTTCGTACGTAAAATCGAGAGAATTCGGAAAGGATTTGTACAGCGATTGGTTATCCCAAGATCTTCAATCTGATCTTCAAGTAGAAACGTGGTCGAATGGACCCAACGAACTACCATCTGATTGCAACAATAAATATCACGTGATGGACGTGAAAGAAATCGAAATGAGAACGATTGATGATTACGTGATAAAGTTAAAAAATTCTCAGGATCATTCGAAATGGGCCATCAGCAACAGCAATTCCACAATGATATGCGTGGGTGATATTAATAGAATGGTAAGAATTTCAATCCCTAAAACATATATAGAATAAGAATTGATCGTAAATGTAACTGATCAATGTGAATTGATTACAGCAATCGCAATTCAAACGTGGAGGAGGAACGCTTTGTTATAAAAATTATTTCGTTTGGAAAAAATACGTAAAATCCGTCATTGATTTACAACCGTGCGTTTACAAAGGTCGTCCATTACTTTGAATCCAATTATTATTATTATTACAAGACTTAATTCGAAATATTACGTTTTTGTGGTACAAAAATTGAATAAAATACCTTTTTTATAATCCACCTCCGGTTACTTCGATACTTGCACCATTTACATAAGAACTTTTATCAGAAGCTAAAAATGTGATAACTTCTGCGACTTCTAAAAATAAAAATATTAAATTTAGTTAGTTTTATTGTTTATGTAACATAAAAGTTATAATATTTATTTAAATGTAAAATACCTTCTGGCTGTCCTAAACGTTTTAACCCTATTTGTTTAGAAAACATTTCTTTAACCTTTTCTGGCACAGTTTCAACCATAGGAGTTTGAATAAATCCAGGAAGCACAACATTGCACCTTATCCCATATCTAATTATTCATTATTTATTTAATTTTTATATTGTAATGTATAAATAATGAGGCAAAATTTAAATTTTTTTTCTTCCTTACCTACCAAATTCTTTAGCAGCAGTTTTTGTTATTAATTCCACTCCTGCTTTACTCGCAGCATAATTACATTGACCAATGTTGCCAATCTTCCCAATGATACTTCCGACATTTACTATTGAACCAGTAATATTTCTTTCGAGTAAAAGTTTTGCAAAATGTTGAGTTATTAAATAAGTCCCCTATAAATAAAATAAAATAAAATTTTAATATAAAGAAAAATGTACAATTTATCTTACTAATTTGGACTTTGTAAGAATACACAGCACATTTAAGTTTTTACTCGAATAAATGATAAAAATTTCAAGCTTTTTTTTTTATTTTATAGATGATTACAATTGATTAATGCTTACCTTCAAATTAACATCAATTACTTTATCAAATGAATCTTCAGACATATTAATCATAAAACTATCCATAGTTATTCCAGCACAGTTTACTATAATTGAAGGCGGCTTCTCATACAATGCCAGAATTTTCTTCACAACATTATGTATATTTTCTGATTTTGTTATATCCATTTTAAAGGCAGAATGATTTGTTTCTATTCAATATTGGTTATTACATTACAGTTATAATCATTCTTTAATAATTTTATTATTATTCGATTTCGAATAAAATATGTTTCAAGGGTAATTGCTGTGAGTAAATTATACAAGCATTTTAAAGACTAATACTTTAAATAAAAAAATTTTAAGTTTTTACAACTTAAGTAAATAATCTACTTATGATTTCATACAAATTTTAATCAAATTTCATTAGAATTTGATTTTTAAAAACTAATACTAATAATACTTGCCTTTTAATGCATTTTTCACTAAATTGACACTTTGCTCATTTTTATCAACGGCAATTATTGTAGCATTTTCTTTAGCCATACATAAGCAGGTTGCTTTGCCAATACCGCTACCGGCTCCTGAAATTATAACAAAAATTTTATTAATAAAAAATTTTTAAGAGAAGAAAAAAGGTTATATTAAAATAGGGTTAATTAAATAATTTCAGTTACATAATTATGGAAAAAAGAAAAACTGTCACATTATATACCTGTTACTATTGCTAATTTTGAAGTCAGCATTTTTAGTCTAATGATAAAGTATTACAAAATAAAAACTAAAAAAAAAAACGATTAGCTTTTAGGTTAATTTAATCAAATTATTATTAAAATAATCGACTAATTATATATTTCAAACGACTTATTCTTCAATTTGATTTCACCCATATTAGGTTAAGTAATTTGAGTGAGATAATTAACCGTTATTACTCTATGAAATTGGTTTTAAAAATGCATGGTAAAATTAATAAAAACATTTGTAATTCACATTTTATTTATTAAATTTTTATATCAATTTATTAAAAGTCATTCTAAATAATAATTTTTCTTATAATTTACTTTTTTTAATAAATTAGTTAAATATTCAATCATGTTAATTTTTCAATAAGTATTAGTATTAAAAAATACTTTATTCTTTAAAGTAAGTAGTACAGTACAGTAAAAAAAAAAATTTATTTTAAATTACCGGTAAATTTTTGTTTAACCGAATAATTATTTTGTCTTGTATGAAATTTTTAAATAATCTTTATTAAATTTTATTAATATATTACTATTTAAATTTAATTTACTTGAAATTTTATTTTGTTCATATTTTTTTTTTAGGTATAACATCATGACTAAAAATATTATTAAAACGGTGGATGATACTAATGACATTGAAAAAAAAAAATCAATTGAAATATTAGAAAATAAATGGAAATTAGTACCTGAATTTTTGAAAATAAAAGGTTTAGTCAAACAGCATACTGATTCATTTAATTACTTTATAAAAGTTGATATAAAAAAAATTGTTGAAGCAAATCAGTATGTGAGAAGTGACGTAGATCCAAATTTTTATTTAAAGTATTTAGATGTTGAAGTGGGGGTACCAGAAATAGAAGAAGGTTTAGATGTCAAAAGAGCGAGTACCCCACAAGAATGTAGATTGAGAGATATGACTTATTCTGCTCCTATTACTGTTACCATAGAATATACCAGAGGAAATGAAAGAATCATTAAAAAAGATTTGATCATTGGAAGGATTCCTATTATGTTACAAAGTGCTAATTGTGTGTTATATGGAAAAGACGAATATGAACTTTCAAAACTTAATGAATGTCCATTAGATCCAGGCGGTTACTTTATTGTCAAAGGTCAAGAAAGGGTAATTTTAATTAGAGAACAATTGCTTAAAAATTCATTGGTTGTTGAAAAAGACTCGAAAGGAAATCCATGTGCTCATGTGATGAGTTCTACTCATGAAAAAAAATCTAAAACAAACATAATTATAAAAAAGGACAAATTTTATTTGAGGCACAATGCATTCAGCGATGATATTCCACTGGCTGTTATATACAAAGGATTCGGGGTAGAGAGCGACATAGAGTTTTTTATGTCAGTAGGTATTGAACAAGAATATCATGAAAAATTAATACCTTCCATGGAGGAATGTCACAAATTAAATATATGTACTCAAACTCAGGCGCTTCGTTACATAGGAAATAAAACTAAAGTGAAAAGAAGTTTACCAGGTTCCGGAGGGAAGCCTAAAAATGTTGTCGATGATGCTGGTGATATTTTAGCAAATACTATATTAGCTCATGTTGATGTTTTAGACTTTAGGTGCATGTGTGAAAAAACGCAATATTTAGGTTTAATGGTTCGAAGAATTTTACAAGCAGAAACGGATCCTAGATTTTACACTGATTTAGATCATTATGGAAACAAAAGACTGGAGTTGGCTGGTGCTATGTTAGGTCTGTTATTTGAAGATTTTTTAAAAAGGTACAATTTAGAATTAAAAATGATAGCTGATAAAATGATACCGAAAATAAAGGCTGCACAGTTTGATATTGTAAAACATTTGCGACAAGATTTTATTACAAATGGATTTTCCAATGCAATATCGACTGGAAACTGGACGATTAAACGTTTTCGTATGCATACCCAAGGAGTGACACAAGTACTATCGCGTCTAAGTTACATATCTGCGTTTGGAATGATGACTAGAGTAAATTCTCATTTTGAAAAAACTCGAAAAGTGTCCGGCCCCAGAAGTTTACATGCCACGCAATGGGGAATGTTATGTCCATCTGATACACCGGAAGGAGAAGCTTGTGGTTTGGTCAAAAACTTAGCTTTGATGTGTCACATATCTACCTTAAGTTCCGAGCTTCCGATAAAACAAATTGCTCAGTTGTGTGGAATAATACCTCCTATGAGAATGAACATGGAACAAATTTTAGCACCTGATACTTTCATGGTATTTTTAAACGGTAGTTTATTGGGTATAACTTACGAGCCTAAAAAATTATGTAAAAAATTACGAAAAATTAGACGTTCTGGAAAATTAAATCCATTTGTATCGATTTCCCTGCATGCACTTCATCGCACCGTGTACATCTTTTCCGACTCTGGAAGATTGTGCAGGCCTTACATAATTATTGAAAATGGAGTTCCCCTAATCACAAAATCAGATTTAAATGATTTAGAACGTAAATTTAAAAAATTTATTGATTTTTTAGACGATGGAGTGATAGAATATATGGATGTAAATGAAGAAAATGACAGTTTGATCGCCTTATACGAAAAAGACATTACCCCAAAACATACTCATTTGGAAATAGCACCGTTTACACTCTTGGGTGTTTGCGCTTCTATTATTCCCTATCCGCATAATAATCAAAGTCCTAGAAATACTTATCAGTGTGCCATGGGAAAACAAGCTATGGGTGCCATTGGATACAATCAAGAAAATCGTATCGATACATTATTATACAACATGGTTTACACTCAAAAACCAATGGTCATAACAAAACCGATGGTGATGGTGAATTACGATAAACTTCCCGCGGGTCAAAATGCAATCGTGTGCGTAATGAGTTACTCCGGTTACGACATAGAAGACGCATTGATTATTAACAAGGCATCTTTGGAACGAGGCTATGGGAGATGTCAAGTTTTTAGAAATACCAAATGCGTTTTGAAAAGGTACGCTGACGGAACTTCAGATCGAATACAGGGGCCTCTGGTGGATGCCGAAACGAGGAAACCACTCTGGAAGCACGGTGTTCTCGATACGGATGGAATAGGAGCGCCGGGAGAAAAAATATTAAATCGTCAAGTTCTCATAAACAAATCTGTTCCGAGTAGGTCAAACACTTCGAACGTTCCCATTTTCGGTGAAAGAGACTACATAGACACCCCGGTGGATTATAAAGGGTTAGAACATTCTTACATAGACAAAGTTTTAATATCGACGAATAGCGACGACGATTCATTGATAAAAATAAAATTAAGACAAACTAGGATACCTGAAATAGGTGATAAGTTTAGCAGTCGTCACGGTCAAAAAGGAGTCGTGGGTCTCATTGTAGAACAAGAAAACATGCCTTTCAACGAAAGCGGAATATGTCCGGACGTAATAATGAATCCTCACGGTTTTCCGAGTAGAATGACCGTCGGGAAATTAATCGAACTTTTGGCTGGAAAAGCTGGAGTGGTCACTGGAAAACATCATTACGGTACGGCGTTCGGAGGTTCCACCGTTTCTGAAGTGCAAGAAGAACTCGTTAAAAACAAATTTAATTACGAGGGAAAAGATATTCTTTACTCCGGAATAACCGGAGAACCTATGGAAGTTTACGTTTATTCCGGACCGGTTTTCTATCAGAGATTAAAACACATGGTTCAGGATAAGATACACGCTCGTGCTCGGGGTCCCAGAGCCGTTTTGACGAGGCAACCCACCGAAGGTCGTGCAGCCGACGGAGGTTTAAGACTGGGCGAAATGGAACGTGATTGTTTAATCGCTTACGGAGCTTCGAGTATGATATCCGAACGTTTGATGATATCCAGCGACGCATTTCAGTGCGACGTGTGTAACGAGTGCGGTCTCATTGCTTACTCGAAATGGTGTCACGGATGTAAATCCAGCAAAGAAATATCGACGATAAAACTTCCCTACGCGACGAAATTATTATTTCAAGAATTGCGTTCGATGAACATTGTTCCGCGGCTCTCGTTGAAAAATTACTGCGGGGGTTGAAAGGAGGAGTTAAACCCCGGTCCCCCGGGGAATGTTATACCTTGAATGATAAAAACATTTTTAAAAAAAAATTTTGACAAGGATAAATTAAATTGAAATATATGTAAAACACTAAACGTGTAATGTTTTGGAATGATTTTTTTTTTCTTCTTTTTTTTTTACATATATATTAATTAGAATTTTCTTATATCATCACAACGTATAATTAAATTTGGTTTTATATGGACGCAATATTATTTACCGTTTGAATAAAATTCAACCGTTCACAATAAAAATAATCTTTACAGATTCAGAATATTATTATTATTATTATTATTTTTCTTTTTCTCCTTTCTCCTTCTTCTTAATAATAATAATAATTATTATTATTATTATTATTTTTTTTTTTAAAGCAGTCGGAAAAAGTTTACAAGACGCATTTAAATAATAATAATAATAATAATAATAAATTTAACTTTTAACGAACACACTTTTGTTATTTTGTTTTTTTTTTTTTTTTTTTTACAGAAATATGAGGGGGGGGGGGAAATGTAATGAATTATAATATTTACAATTATAATAACCTTATTTACATTTAGTGCAGTCATAATAATTAATTTATACAAAAATTGAATTTGCTTATTTTTTTTTTTAATCGGTTCAATATCACTCACTCATCGTACTGTCAAAATCCTCCTTTTAGGGTTTTCATTTTCCCATCAAACGTTGTTGGGGAAAGAAATTTTAAAAAAAAAATTTATCATCTTATTACCGATTCAAACATTTTTTCATGACGTAATCTACTGCCTCTGGAATTTCATCGAAAACTGAAATCCCATTTCTTTTGGCTATATCCGTTAAATACATCCTTCCACGATTGTAATCTTTAACGGCTCTTCCCGATAACGTTTCATCATCTATTTTAGCTTCTTCCGGTAAATACTGAATGCAAAGAACGACGTTTGCTCCTCGTCCGATATAATGTCCAGCCTACAACGAATAAATTTTTCCGATTTCAAATAAAATTAAATCGTAACGGTAATCGTTAAACAAATCGATTCATTCTTACAATAGCCATGGCGGATATCGATCGTGCCGTTCCCGTTATGACGAATAATAAAACACGACTATTATCCATAGCTGCTGCTTCGACGTTTGTAAATTGTTCTTTTCCTTCTTTTATTTTCGGAATAAAATAACTGAGATTTTCCTGACTAAAAAAAAAAAATAAGCGTCATCACGCACAATTGTATCAAAACAATTTTTTTTTGTAAAAATAAAAATAAAGAGAAAATTTACTTTAGCATCGGTACGGCTATCGATTCTCTCCATTGTGTATTTTCGATTGTGCCCCCCAAATAAACATCGTAATAACAATGATGATTGACACCGGCGGAAAAATCCGATTCGGTTAAACCAACTGGAAACCAATTTTTTTTTTTTTTTTTAATATTTATTTTATAATAATTTTTTTTTTTTTTCTTTTCTTTTTAATTTTTATTATACCTTCTTTTTCCCTTTCGTATTCTTTCAACAAAAACAATAAAGATTCATAATCGATTTTTACATCCTCCGATTGATTTCCATTTAAATTATTTCCTGTAAATTAAAAAGTTTCGTTTTATTTTTTTAATCTTAAATACAAATCGTGTAATCTATCATTATTATTATTATAATTAATTATTACCTAATTTTTTAGATAATTTATTCATATCCTCCAATGATATATTATTTCGATTTAAAACTCCGAGTGCTAAACATGCTTCTTTTACCGATATTATTCCCGTATTGGTCACATCTAATTTTTCAAATATTTCTTGAGGAGTTCTATAATGAGTACAAATTATTTTTATTACTCTTTTCATACAATTCAAAATCATAATAATAATAATAATAATAATAAAAGTTGTAAATTATTTTCTCGATTGCCGCGGTATCCATTTTTATAACGTTGTCTATGAGTAATATTAAAACAAAATGAAATTCTTCTTTAATTCATTTTCAATGTCGAAACAATATTTAAATGTTGCAACTTTCAAGGTAAAAAATAATAAAAAAGAAAGAAAATTTTTTTTTTTACCACTACTACTCAATAAAATGAAAATTTAACTTACGGTTTTTCTTCTTCCCTTTTCTCAATTGTATGAAGTTGCAGATCTTGTACGGTTAAATTTTCACGAAGAATTTTTTCCGTTGTTTTCAATGCTACTTTAATATCATCGAAAACTGGAATATTTTGACTTTCTACTAAATTCTGTAGCACGTTTTGTCCAGCTTTTAAATCTTCGTATTCCCTATTGAAAATAAAATAATAATAATAATAATAATACTCGAGTTTCTGTCGTACGTTTTCGGTTTAACTCATTCTCATTTGAACAATAAGGGGGAAAAATTATTACTTTTGAGATATTTGTTCGTTGCATATAATTTGATTTTTCTGCGTGTAGGATTGAATGACCAAAATCAATTTTCTACGATTTCCAGCCAAGTGTGCAACTTCAATCAACGCCGACACTCCTCTCGTTTGATTGTCGATAACGAAAAACATAACCGTTGCATTTTCCTTGGCTTGATATTCGACCTCTAAAAGTTCGGGTCGCCACTCTCCAACTTGTTGCTGAAATTTAATTACAAAATCTTTATTTGAAACAAAAAACACTCACTTACTGTCTAAATGACCTTTCAACCCTTTTAAATAAATAAAATTTTAAAAAAAAAACTCATATTTCATAATGAATTCATACAAAACGAACAACCACGACATTCGATACTTGTCACGTTCGAATCGCGTAACGATAAAAATTTGAAAATTTTTCGGGGCCCTAACGACGATCAAAAATGGCGCCTTGAATTCTCTTTTTTTAAACAAAGTTATCAAGTAAATACTCTATGACTTGTGTAAAATCATCATTTGAATCAAAGTATTTAACTCTCGAGCATATATGGGAAAATTATTTGTAATAACGTAAATAAAATTCATTCGAAAGGAAAAAAAAATGTTTTTTTTGGGTGTACACTTACTGGATTGTAATATGAAATATTCATATTTTCTAATTCTGGAATAGCTAAATCTATTCTCCATGTCGTTGGATTGCACGATCCTCCTAAAAACACTTCATATTTGCTCATACCTCCTAGAAAAAAAAAAAAAAATTATTATTTTAAAGAAAATTACAATCGTCGAATTAATAAAAAAAATATTTATAAAAAAAAAAAAACTTACTTGAAAATTTCCCCCTTCGTTTTTCGACATTTTTTTCCAATATTTTTACCGGCGTTGTTGTAGAATTGGGCGTTATCCTGCAACTGTGTAAATTTTTTCTCATTAATTTCATTTTAAAAAAAAAATAAATAAATAAATACATAATAATTATAAAAAAAGAGACGTTGGGAAAAAATATCAAAAAGACAAAGAGAGAGAGAGAGAGAGAGAGAGATATTATATTTCATTGAATTTAAATGCATAACCAATGGATTATTCAATAATAATAATAATAATAATAATAATAATAATAATTCAATAAATGTAACCTTTGATTATGTTTCCTTGTTTACTATTCAAAAATTCGTTAAAAAAATATAAATTAATAATAATAATAATAATAATAATATGAAAACGTTTCCAAAAAAGGTACGATCCTCCTTAAATAAAATAAAATACATCAAATGTTTACGAAAAGTTTCTCCGCTTGATTTAATTCTCCAACCCAATGATCTCATCATCATCATCATCATCATCATCATCATCATCTTTTCTATATTCTAAGTTTAGAATTGACTTCATTTGAGGAAGCGATTGCCAATGGCAAGGGCGAAAACATGCCGTCGTGGATATAATACAAGCTCGCTCCCTTTCACACCTTGGTGTGTTTTTTTTGGGGGGGGAGAGGGGGAAGTAGGGGGGGGACTAAATAATAACTTTCAATTTAAATAATACTACCACGATACTGAAATCATTTATTATTACACATCGGGGTGGGGGGGGGGGAAATAAATTACGAGACGTATTAATTTGCATACACGTTCGTGTGCGACAGTGTGTGTGTGCGTGTGTGTGCACGTGTGCGTGCGTGTGCATGTAGTAATCAATGCACTTGTTATGCAAAACTCATAAAAATTATTATTATTTATGTCATTTTTCTCACGTGTTTTTTTTTTTTTAATCATTATCAAAGTATTATTATTATTATTTTCCTTTTCTTATGTTAATTTCATTTCTTCTTCTTTCCCGCCATAACAATTTATATATAAATTGAACAAAATTGTTTTTATTTGTATAAAACGTTCAAAACAATAGAGTACAAACACTGAAAGAGTGATTTAATAATAATAATAATAATAATAATAATAATGATAATAATAAGCACGTTTTTTTTAAAACTCACAGATTAAAAGATTATATATATATATATATATATATATATAAAAGTAAAATGATTTTTCTTCTATCAGACGAAATGACGCCATTTTTTCTTTCTATTTTGTGACCAAACGTTAAACTTACTTACTATAATGATGATGATGATGATGATAATAAATATCGTTGTTATTATTATAAAAACTGTTGGAAAAAAAGAAAAACTAAAAAGTTATTAAGGTATTGATTATTATTATTATTATTACTTACTCCGTTCTGATAAGATCGTTTGCAAATTTGTAGAATTCTCCAAACGTTAAATGTTTCGCTGATGGATTTTTTGAACATTCTTGTGCGCATTTCAGCATTTCTGCAACTGTTGAAGAAAAAGAAAATAAATAAAACCTTATTTCACGACGTCATCATTGTCCATAATAATAATAATAATAATAATAATCCCCCCCTCCCCCCAAATTAATTTTTCATGCAACCGACACAATAATAATAATATTTTTTTTAAATTGTGTCAGGGTTATTAAAATAACTCAACAATTTGTTTGTTTGTTTGATTACAAACACTTGTTATTGTCCATCAATACTTTTAAAAAAAAAATTTTTTTCTACATATGTATAAGTATAAAAAAAAAAAATCAAACAACCAAACAAACAACCAAACAACCAACCATATTTATTACATCAGCATCATGAGATTTTTTTTTTTTTTTGTTAAAAAAAAAACAAATTAAAAATGATGTCAACAATATTTAAAAATTTTTTTTTCAAATACTTTTATTAACAGATAACATAAATTTTACGTATGTATACACGAAAAACGAAACACGCACACGCATACGCACACACACACGCAAACAAAAAAAAAAACTCGGTCTGAACTTTATCTAATAAAAAAGTTGAATGTTTTATTTATTTATTTAGCGGGGGAGCCTCTACCTTAATTCGCCCCCGTATTGTGGGCCGTATAACTGGTATAATTTTTACGACCTTTTGAATGTTAATCCCTTTATATCCCGCCATATTCTTACGGTTAAATTTTTTTTTTTTTTTTTTTAACGTGGGACGTAAAATAAAATTTTTTTTTAATTTAAATAAAAAGGATTGGAAAAATATTTAATGAGAGAGAGAGAGAGAGATATCTCCGAAAGAACGAAGAAATATGAAGGTCGATCACTGCCTCAAGAAGAATTCGAATCGAAAAAAAAAAAAAAAAAATCTTTTAAATGGAAAACGAAATGAAAAAAAGTAATTTTCCGGAAAATTAAACCGCCATTTTTAATTCGTAAAAAGGTTCACACGATGAAACCTTCTTTTCTTTATACCTTTCGATACTTTTTAATTTAAAAATTTATAAATTTAAATCCGGAGTTAACGACAAAACAAACGAATTTTTCTTCGGTTCAAAATAAAAATACATTTTTTTTTTGTTTAAAACAGAAAAACAAACAAGCAAGCAAACAAACAAACAAACAAACAAACGAACAAAACAAACCTTGAAAAGCGGACGGAAACAGTTGCAAGTCATTGAAAAGTAGTAATTGTAAATTTTCACCAGGTACTAATTTTGAGGATCCCAATAATCTACTTTCCCATACATTTCGTATTTTTCTATAAAAACAAAAAAAAAATCTCACGTTATTTAAAACTCTATTATTATTATTATTATCATTATTATTATTATTATTATTATTTTCATTAGCAAATAACACGTGAAAATTCATCATTTGCCTTTCGGAAAAAAATGAATGAATGAATGAAACCATTGATCCAATAATTTTTTTTTTTTAAATAAATAAAACAAACCTATTAAAACTAATTTGACTTTTAATTTAAAAAAAAAAAAAAAAACTGAAAAACCTGAAACCTGTGCCTTTCCCAAAAGCGAACCAAGGACGAATATATAACGAATATTTAAATATTTATTCTCAACCCATTTTTTTAACAACAAATTAACCAATTTTAATAAAATTGATTATAAATACAATAATAATTAACGCCAAGGATATTTTACTTTTTACTATTATTATCATTACTCATGACTTACCATTAAAAATAATAATAATAATAATAATAATAATAATAATAATAATAATAATAATAATAACATCGGGGAAAAAAAAAAAACGTGAAAAATAAATACTCAGACAAACGAATATTATTATGATGCCGTTTAAATACAAAAAGAAACAAAGACGATTGATAATAACATTAAGAGAGAGAGAGAGAGAGAAAACGATTTTGTAATTTAACCTTTTTAACAAGCAACCAACCAATCAAACAACCAATCAAACAACCAACCAAACAAACGACCAAACAACCATGAGAAAAATTTTCATTTTTATTATTGGATTAGCTAATTGTTACAAAAAAAAAAAAATTTCAATTTAAATCAATTTTTCGTTTGTTTGTTTGTTTGTTTACGAGTTTCGGTTACACGAATTCGAACGACATTATTATTATCATTATCATTATTATTATTATTATTATTATTATTATTATTATTATTTTTAAAACAAGAATAAATAAATAAATATTTGCCAAAAATAATATTAAAAATTAAAAAAAAATTTATTTAACTTTCCCTCGATTGTTTCTTTCTTTATTTATTTATTTATTTTTTATTTGTGAATAATAACAATCAAAATTTTTTTGTTTGTTTGTTTGTTGTTAATTGTTAAAACAATTTATTAATAATAACAAAATTAAATTTTATTTTATTAATTTTTTACCTTAATTCGTTCAATCGATTTTAACCAAAAAAAAAAAAATTTATTTATTTTGTATTATCACACTTGAATAACTCATAATATTTTATTATTATTATTATCAAAAATACATAAATAAATAATTAATTAA